GAGTGAGTGAGTGAGTGTGAGAGTGCGTGAGTGTGTGCGTGAGTGTGTGTGTGAGTGTGTGCGTGAGTGTGTGCGTGAGTGAGTGAGTGAGTGAGTGTAAGAGTGCGTGAGTGTGTGTGCGTGAGTGTGTGTGAGTGAGTGTGTGTGTGTGTTTGAGTGTGAGTGTGTGTGAGTGAGTGAGTGTGCATGAGAGTGTGCGTGAGTGAGTGTGAGTGAGTGTGAGAGTGAGAGTGAGTGTGTGCGTGAGTGTGTGTGTGAGTGAGTGAGTGAGTGTGAGAGTGCGTGAGTGCGTGAGTGAGTGAGTGTGTGAGTGAGTGTGTGTGTGAGTGTGAGTGAGTGCGTGAGAGAGTGAGTGAGTGAGTGTGTGTGTGAGAGTGAGAGAATTTGTGTGTGTGTGTAAGCAGTGACAGATTATTCTCCATCTGAACTCCTGTAAGGAGCCGCAGCTCCACTGAGAGCACAGCCAAGAGAAAGCAAAACTAACATCCACAGATAACCAGCAACTCTTCTATTCTCAGTTTGTGTCTGTCGCCCAGTTTTTCACCATTAAGGAAAGCATTCGGCTTCTCTCAATTCACAAAATGAATTAGATAATCATCTGAAAGCCTGCAGCTGTGGACACATTCAGTAAGCAGCATCTAACAGATCGAGCAGAGGAAGGCCTGATGTAAGGCAGCTCTGAGTCTCAGAGTCTCTGCTCAGACAAGCCCGGCGGCAGGAATGACAACAATGACTGGAATCTGAGGGTTTTCCCAGAATGCATCATCGCCAGACTCTGGACAAACCACACCTTAACATGAATTATTGAAACGGGGCTGTTTTCATGACGCCATGAAACACAAACCACATCATTTACTAAATGAGTGTGCATAACAGTTACACACAATAACAGGTTTCGATTATCAATGCGTCATGTGACTATTACGATACCAAAGCTGCTGTCATGAGACCAATCACTGTCTGCTTGTTTGTAAATTAGTGACTAGTGTACAGCTACCACAGCCACATTCATGGCAAGAAAACAAGTGAAAAATAGAACAAATAAATAGATACACTATATATAAACAACAAATACAATTTACAAAAGGGTTTTAAAATTTATCTTTGATTTAAAAAAATAAGGAAAAAATCCTTATCTAAATCTGGTCTCCCTTCATTTAAAAAAATCATTTTACATTTTACAAATGTACATTTGACCAAATCAGTTGAAAAGTAAAGAGCCCTTAAATAGTTAAAACAAATAGCAGTCCATATTTACAGATATTGGACAAACTAAAAACAATTAAAAAAAACACACATTACTTGAAATAATCATGCCAGCTACCACAGCCACATTCATGGCAAGAAAACAAGTGAAAAATAGAACAAATAAATAGATACACTATATATAAACAACAAATACAATTTACAAAAGGGTTTTAAAATTTATCTTTGATTTAAAAAAATAAGGAAAAAATCCTTATCTAAATCTGGTCTCCCTTCATTTAAAAAAATCATTTTACATTTTACAAATGTACATTTGACCAAATCAGTTGAAAAGTAAAGAGCCCTTAAATAGTTAAAACAAATAGCAGTCCATATTTACAGATATTGGACAAACTAAAAACAATTAAAAAAAACACACATTACTTGAAATAAAAAAAAACATTTTTTTTATTAAAATTTCTCATTTTCATTTACTTTAACTTGATGTACTAAAACAACTAAAAATAAGACTGAAATAAAAATGGAAAAAAGGCAAAAAAAAACACCAGCACTTCCTGTTAGTCAAAAAACTAAACAAAACATAGTGGCGAACTGTCCTCGACAGAAGTGAAACTTTCACAATCAAGAAAAACGAGAAAATCATCTACTACTTCCCCTTTGAGAGGAGCTTTAAAGATGATGACAGCATGTTTTCAATAATAAAGTAATTAAAGTTGGGATCGTCTATGGAAATTAAAGGGGCCGAGTTCATTCAAAAATTATCATTCTTGTCATCATTTACGCACTCTCAAGTTGTTCCAGACCTGTATGAATTTCTATACTCTGTTGAACACAAAAGATGATATTTTGACTAATATTGCTGAGCAAATAGCTGACGGTAGCCATTGACTTCCATAGGATGGAAAAACAATATACTGTAAGTTAATGGCTACCATCTACGGTTTGCTCAGCCATGTTAATCAAAATATCATCTGTTGTGTTCAACAGAAGAGAGAAACCCGCAGGTTTGAAACAACTTGAGGGAGAGTAAAAGATGACAATTTACATTTTTGGGTGAACTGTCCCTTTAAATTTGTTGACAGCACATTGAGCTCTCAATAATATATAAATTCAAGGGACAGTTTGCTGTCATTTAAACTCAACCTAATCTCTTTCTAAACCTGTACGAGTCTGCATGATCATTTCTGCATGAACTCTGATTTTAATAGTGCAAACAAGCGTGTTAAAAGCGGCCGATGGCAAGTTCATACGGTTAATGCAGCAACAAGCCCAGCGTTAAAGCATCACAAATCAAGCACTTTTCAAATGCAAAGTGGCAAAAACATCTAAAAATATCCTCAATTACCAACAATTCCTGCGGTTTGAATGAAAAACGCAGTATTACCCTCAAAACCGTACATTAAGCCATTTGGGAAGTACAGGAACACTTCACACGCGTGTAATTACGCGCAGGGGCCAACGCCTGATTTTAAACACAGCCGAAACAGCATGTGCTATTTCTAAACCTCGAGCAAACATCTGTTTTACAAGAAGCTGCTGCATGTGTCTGTAAGTCATCTCCAGTTTAGCATTTATACAGCGCAGAACGTATAACACGAGGCCTACTATAACTCCGTCCGAACACTACACCTCGGTGTTTACACTATCATCAGCGGGGTCCGTCCCGTCAATCAGAATAACTTAAATTACACACAATCACCAGCCGGTGACGAGAAAGACGGAGCTACTTTGGGATCAAATTACACAGGCTTATCAAATGACAAGAGGGCAAACAAACACTGCGCATGATGTTTTTTAAAAAAATGCATGTATTAAAAGTCTCGTTAAAACAATCAGACAGCTGTTAAAACGCAAGTCTGAAATTAAACGTACAGTCGGATTAGAATTTCAATGGTACATCACATTTGTTAAAAAGAAAGTAAGAAAAGATCTGATTTCAAACAGACAGTGGTTTGTGGTTTGAGTCTGGGGGCTTCAGTACCTGTGTATTGGAGGAAAAAAGCCAACAAGATTTTCACTGGAAACAAAACAAAGAGAACTGACGCTCCGTTGACAATAGGCCTTTGAAACGTCATTAACCCCCGAAACCATTAGCAGGCGTAACAGTTAAGTACTGTGTGGATTGCCATGAACCGGGACTCCTTGCAGGTTGGCACTAAACTCTTGAACAGCTTTTTGGAAGGCACTCGACGCGTAAGCTCCGACGTCCTCGCGCCTAAACAGTAAAGTCCTCGTGTGCTCACGGATGTGGGGGGGGGGACGAGAAAGTAGTTTAAATCCAGGCGAACGAAAAGCAAAACGATTCACAACAAGGGTTTCCAAGTCCACGGGCAACGGGTTCCAAGTCTTGGTTTTTCACGTTCTTGGGGTTTAAGTTCCAGTTGCGAGTGCAAGACACTTGTGTTGACATCAATGGTGTGCTGCAATTCCTGAAGAGTGATCCGCTATTCCAGGCTTCTCCTCCTCTTCCTCTTCCTCCTCCCGAGGAGACGCGTCGCTCAACAGTACAGAAATCCTGCGACACACCTCCAAAATAAAATACAAACAAAAACTAATTACTAGCGCTCGTCTGCGTTGCACAAGACAACACCACGCAGCCAGGCACCTGAAAACAAAAGCCCCTCAAGTGCCTCTGATTTAAACGTGTCGGTTTGTCTCTCTATATATATTTATATAATCCCAGAACATTGAAGTATTCTGTCATGTAAACACTGGTTTCAATATTCTGTAGGACACTTGTAGGAATACTGATGACAGTTAAAGCGACGGTTCGAACAAAAAAACTAAGTTCTGTCGTCGTTCAATTTGAAAACAAAAGAAGACAGTTTTTGGTCCCGATGGACCTCCATAGTACTTGTTTTTCATACTGTGGGAGTCAAAGGGGAGTAACAATTGTTTAGTTAGCCACATTCTTCAAAATATCTTGTTCTGTGTTCAACAGAAGAAACTCATACAGGTTTGGAACAAATGAATGCTAAGGCTGATGATACAAGCGGAAACTTTTGAGCAACGCTGCTTGGGCCCTTTCCCATTGAGACTGGCCGATTTTTCTGATTTTATCGATTTGAAATTCAATTTTATTTTTTAGAAATCGAGGAATTGCGATTTTGAATAGTAATATTACCAAACGTTAGAATTAAACACTTTGACAATATGCCAATAACTTCTGAACATATACTACTCTTTCCCGCAAAGACATTTAACAAGTACACATCGTGTTGACAACGTCATGTGCGCTGCACTCGGAATAGAATTTTCTTTAACTAGAGGGTTAAAAAAAAAGAAGTTACTTGAATCATGTTGTAGTTACATTTTCAAGTTGACCAGTTAAAAATAGTAAAAAGAAAACAAACATCGCGAATCGGTCAAACGTTCTGAAAAAAAAAAATCGAGATCTAAATGTTTTGCCATATAGCTCAGCCGTAAGAATGGGTAATAAATGTCCCGGTGTCTCGCTGGTTACCCGCTGACGGCAACATTGCTCAAATAGTTGCCCAGTGTGTCATCAGCATAACAGAACTTTCATTTTGGGGTGAACTGGCCCTTTAAGGCGATGGTCCCCCGAACTGAAAGTTCTGTCTATTTGTTACAAACCCGTCCGAGCGACAGTCGTAAGTCTTCAGTCTTCATCTGAACTTTCCCCTCAAGCGATATCTGTCTGTCTCTGTCTGTCTGTCTGCCTGTCTCTCTGTCTGTCTCTGTCTGTCTGTCTCTCTGTCTGTCTGTCTGTCTGTCTGTCTGTCTCTGTCTGTCTGTCTCTGGTTGACCAGACTGTAGACGAGGATGAAGCCCTGGCCGTTCTTGATGTACAGGTCGCGCATGGAGGCGAACTGCTCGGTGCCCGCCGTGTCCAGGATCTCCAGCACCGACGGCGACGAGTCCACCTCGATCTCCTTGCGGTAGAAGTCCTCTATCGTCGGGTCGTACTTCTCGATGAAGGATCCGGTGACGAACTGCACGGTCAGCGCAGATTTCCCCACGCCGCCGGATCCCAGCACGACCACTTTGTATTCTCTCATGGCTGTGAGCGCTGGGCAGTGTCTCTCTCTCTCTCCGTAGCGCGCTGCTGTTTTCAACCAGCTCGGTACCGGCCGGGGTTCGGTGAGCGTTGCGCGCTGAGGATGGCCTTGCTTCGGACCGCGGCCCAGCATTAGAAGCGCATTATTCCGGCGGACTGTGTGCTGCGTCTGCGCTCCGCGAGCTCTCCAGGGTTGCCAGGTTTTCACGATAAAACCCGCCCAGTTGCGACTCTTCTGTTTAACTTCTTCTGTCTGCTTTTAACGGCGGCTGGCAACCAACGCGAATCGGTGCATTACCGCCCCCTTCTGCTCCGGAGTGTGGAACAGAGTTTATATTCTATTTATTTATTTTGTTAAAACCTTTCATATTTAATTCTTAATTTAAATAATTTGTATCTTAAATTTTACAGCTCAATGCTGTAAAGCTGCTTTGACACAATCTGCATTCTAAAAAGCGCTGAATAAATAATGTTGACTCGACTTTCTTGTTTATACTTCCTACATTCGAGAAATGCAGGAGGTATTGTTTCTTCAACATGACGTTGTTCACATTTGGATGTTTCTCTATTATTTTAAGTGTGCTATTTACGTTTGAATGCCCTAACATTGTTCTACATAAGCTCTTCTTTCCTTGATTTATATACTTTATATTTTGATTGACTTTGTTAATTGTGACCCTGGAGCACAAAACCAGTCACAAAGGTCAGTTTTTTTTTATTGGGATTGATAGTCCCAATGGTGAGGGTGCAAAAAAATCTAAATATTGAGAAAATCATCTTTAAAGTTGTCCAAATGAAGTTCTTAGCAATGCATATTACTAATCAAACATTAAGTTTTGATATATTTACGGTAGACTGACGATTACACTGTATTGTTGGCTATTGCTACAAATGAAAAACAACCCACTGCAATAGAGTTAAAGCAGCCCAATTCCGCGGGAAAACAGAGGACTTGGCAACACTGCTGCCCATCGTCCGCGGCGCGTCACCAACGGGGCGTGTCTTAAAGGCGCAGGCACACAACACTGATCTCGACTCGTTTGTTCCTGTAGCGCTCGACACAACACAGCTTCACACCAATAAACTGGAAATAATGCTGTAAAATCCACCAGTTTCAAACAGACCCAGTTTCGGCTCGTTATTCAGATCAGCGCTGTTTCAGTTCAGTTCAACAGCACTGTCAGGGTTATTTATTTATTTATTTTTCCTAACTGCAAAGTGACTCACTGTGTGCTGTGTGAAAGAATTAAAACACAAAAGCAAATGATGAGCGATGTTTGGATGAACTGTCTCTTTAAGAGTGTTGTGGCGTGCACCAGGCCCAGCTGATGCCATGTGTGTGGCAACTCAGGACTCTGGCCAGAAAACATCTCAGATTTATGTGTTATCATTTCTGCTGAGCGGCTCATTAATAACACATCCTGGCCTTTAGTTTGGATATGTTTGTGATATTATGAGAGTTAGGGTCACCCGTCGGCCTTGTGTTCAGATCAAGTCTAATGGAGCAGAAGGATAATTCACATTGATAATTTCCTATAGTCAGGTTAGGTTTTTAAATGAAATATGATCTGTGATTAAAATGATTGGAAGAGTTTTGTTCTACAATATAAATGACATATAGCCTATCTCAAACTAAATGTAGCTACAGAGTATCACTGTATTTATGATGTAGAACTCAACGTGGAAACCTCAGTTTGCTCATAAATGAAAGCACTCAAAGGAAACTCCACGCATCCGTCAGGTTTATAGGACGTCATGCGTGTAATGAAACTCTACTGCTAAACAGAGATAAGGTTTCCAAAAGTGTAGCAGCTTCTGTTTTTCCACAGACGGATCCGTCACGACATGTTGGCTGTACTTCGGCACACTGCACTTGGTGAACTGGGATCCTCCCTGGATGTGAGTCAGATGACTCTGAGCGATACACAGATGTGTTTCTGAAGCGTTATCAGACTCGAAGCACCTGATCGATGAGTAACAGCGCTGACCAGATCTCAGTCTAGCTGATCACCAACAGCACAGAGGATTTCTCTCCGAAGCGTGCAGAGCTCAGTGGAACTGTGCTTTCTGAGGAACTGATTAATAAATACATAATCAGATTCCAAAAATTAAACACTTGGAATTAGATTTTATGAATACTCATAATCAGACTACAGTTGCTTTTAATTGATTACTTAATATCCACTAGATTGTTACTAAGTCATTATTCTCACTAATTCTTCTTGCTTTTCAAATCTTTTTATTTTCCTTTAAAAAAAATATATATATATGTTTTTTTTAATTACGTGGAAAATTGAGAGGCCACAGCATAAACAAATATCGGCTTTAAAAAATATTTTTAAATATATAAAAATGTAGTTATAAAAATGATCTATTATAAAATACACATGTATTTATTTTAAAACTATTTTATTATTATTTTAAATATTTTAAAGTGATTTATTTTAATGTAACATTTTTTAAATATTTAATTAATTATTTGCTATTTACAGCCCCCCTGCAAAACCCAGTTTGAGAAACCCTGGCGTATAATGTAATATTTAAGGCAGTGCTCTCAGTGGTGAAATGTGTAATGCACTTGAGTACATTACTAAACACAATTATCATCGTGTGATCAGTATTCACTCCTTCTGTCCAAACACTGAAAGTCAATGGGGTCCAAAGATGCTTTGGACAAAATCAGGCGAAACTCTGACAGAATTTATTCAGATATAAATGTGTTTCCAACAGCTCAGTTGTTCAGTTTCAGTATGTTTGGACACACTTTGACAGCACACTCAGAATGAGCTCTCTGCTCATCATGTGATGATGATGATGGTGATGAAGCTGGTGTGTTTGACTCTGCGTTCCCCAGTGAATCAGCCAGCGGCTCGTTAGTAATCAGTCTGATGGACAGACTGTATTAATTATCATCCTGCGGGGAAACACTCTGAAGACAGTCCTGCAGGTCTCTGTTTTCACTGATCCTCACACTTCTCTTGTGGATCGAGCGTCCAGACCCCCGGCTCCTCACACCTTCAAACAACACGCTTCATCCCTCTCACAATCAAGAGATCGAGCCATTGCAGACAAACACTGCTGTTTCTTTTTATTATCATTGTAATTAAAAGAATATGATGCAATTATTTCTGTGTTTGCCGTGTTATTTTAGTAACATTGAGATACTGCTATAGTTTTGATTACAGTTTGTTTTTCAGCTGCTTACACACTAAATCTGTACTCGTCACACAGTTCCTGAAAGCTGACACTCAAACAGCAGAAGCACACACCGAGTCTGCAAAACCAGACACTAATACTCAGACTTTCACTCAGTTTTCAATTTCTTTAAACACACACACAAATCTAACAGGAAGTACTATTATGGCAAAGGTGTTTGCAAATGTTTGCTTTTTGAGATGCGGTTGTGATATTTTGAACGCAGTGCTTCATTTTGCAAGAGATGCGAGGCGTTTTGCATTTTGTGTGCAGTTCTTGGATTTGTGTGTGAAGTTTTCAAAAAAAGAGGCAAAGTTTTGAAAATGTGTGTAAGCTGTTGAAAAAAAGAACTAAGATGAGAGGGCTGTAAGACTGTGTGTCGGTGTTTGCTGGAGCAGTGGATCCATCTAGTGGTCAAGCAGAGACTTCAGCTGTGTTGAGTGTTAGTGTTGTATGATAAGTGATTATATTGAGTGACAGCTATCAGAGCTCAGAGATGAGTCCTGTCAAAAATCATCATGTTAAAAGAAGACAAATAGTATAGATATTAGTATAAAAAAAATACTGTCATGTGGTGGTGCCACTAGTGTATGTATGTGATTGTGTGTGTGTGTGTGTGTGTGTGTGAGAGAGAGAGACGGTAATGTTTTACTCAAGCATTACATAAAAATTTAATTTTAACATTAGTGTGATCATTTTAACATGAGTTTAGGAACAGAATAATAAAAAGGAAAAATAAAACACTGCGTAGTATTTACTCTTTGAATTCAATATGCACTGATTCTTATTTAAACTACAAAAGTTATTTAGGTAAGAGCAGTGAGTGATTTTCTCTTTGTCTTTTGTTCATGGCCCCAAATATTGCAAGTTGTAGCGATATGCACATTTGCGATATTTCGATCAATTGCACGGCCCTATAGTGTACTGTTGGAAAATGTCTTTACCTGCCGTTAAACGCGGCATGTGCGAGTGTTGAACTTCGTCTGTGATAAACGCAGACAGTTGTCCGGTTTAAATTATCGTTGTGTTACTATTTACGGAGTGAGAAGCCATTCTAAACGATTTGGTGCAAGAGTGAACTGTCTGGATGATTCAGACTGAATCGCGAACTGATTCGGAACGTTTTAGCCAAACCGTTTGACTCTTTCATGGAAAAGAACCAAATGATTGACACATTCACGGTATCCCTACTTCTGATCGTAAATAGACAACATCAAATTCAAACACATACGATATGATATAATAGGCATGTGAGACAAAATTATTATAAGATCGGTCAACAGTAATGTCATTTATCAGACAAGGATTAGAAAATCTTTACTGAGGGGCCCAATTTTCTATTTAATAAAATTCTTAATAGGCTACATGTTGTTCAAATTAAGAAAAAAATCGTTTAGGTCATGAAATATAGTCACAACACTGGTAAGTATAAATAAATATATACAATTCTATGTTATGCAGTCACACTACTGGTAAATAAATAAATATATATTCTACTCTATATAGTCATAACATTTGTATACATACATACCTGTACATACATAAATATAAACATTATTTAACATTATCATTTTTTTGTTACCCCCTACTTGTTAGACCAGCATTCAAGCATCACATTTGATTTAGTTTGAATGGAGTTATGTGTATGTATCTAAAGGTGTGTGAGAGTGCGTGAGTGTGTTTTGTGGGTAGGGTCTGTGCTGGATTATGAGCTTAAATCATCCAGTTACTTCTCTCTGTTGACCTACTCTGAGCTCATAGAGGGGGAAAACCAATTAGTCTGATGGGATTCTTCACATGCATTTCTGCTCCCCAGAAGTGATGTGATTCTTATCCACATAAATTTTCATTCTCTTATCTGATGACCAGAAACGCTACAAAATATAGACCATTTCCGCAAACTCCTACTTTCATCCATGCACCTTCATCCCAAAAATCTTCATGAAACCAGCTTAAGTGTTCCCATACACGTGCTTAACTTGATCTTCACACAAATCCGCCAATGCTGTAATTCCAGTGAAAGCTTCACAGAGCACAATGGCAATGT